TGTGTGTGTGTGTGTATGTATCTTTTACCCGTGTATCTTTGCAAAGCCAGTAATGAGTGTTGTTCCAAAGCAAGCTTTAAACTCGTGGAAGCGGCTCCCGTCTGTCAGCCGACTGACTACCTGGATAGACAGACAGAAACATTAATTATTATATTAGTTATTAATTCACTTAGGCAGTAATATGACAACCATGACATGAAACCAACCACGTCGATATATGCATCATTGGGGTGTTTTTGCAACATGCCATTAAACCACTATGAGAAACGGTTTTGACTTTATTTTTGTAATGATTAAGTTTGCCTGTAGATGGCACTCTTTCCCCTGACTGTTAAGCCAGAATGACCCCTTTCTAATGCCAACTTCTCTCGTCTACAGAGCAAATGTGTGTATGTATTATTGATTACTGTACCAGTTTAACATCCAGACTGTAGTTATAACTCCTGGGAGCAAGCCCCAGAAGCTCGTCTGAACTATACAGCGGCTCCTCCTCCGATTTCCTCTCCTTCGTCTTCTCTTCATTCTCCTCCTCGGGCAGTTGGAAGTTGAGGGTGGATATAATGTTTCTGGTGTAATCGTACGCCTCCTTCTCTTCCCAGGCAAAATAGTCCACACAGCCACTCACCCTGATACCAGAAGATAAATTGACAGACTTGATGATGTGAACTGTTTGTTGACATGTTTACTTCTTTAATAACTATGTATTTAAAGACTGGTTTGATTTATGGACCTACTCAGCGTGAAGCCTAGCTCCTCCCAGGTCCTCTGGTGTGACTTCTTCTCCTGTGGCAGCCTTGACAAGTGGTGGTCCTCCCAGAAATATGGTCCCTATCCGGTGCACCATCACTGCCTCTTCTGCCATAGTGGGGATGTAAGCTCCACCTGCCGTGCACGACCCGCACACCACCGCCACCTTGAGGATTATTCGATTTTTATATCAAAATAGCAATTTAAAAGAATGCAAATTTAACCTTAATTTGAATTTTATCACAGAATCCACACTGTTGGTCATTTGTGCTGTCTTTATTAACACAATTTGATCCTTTAACCATTGGATATAGTTTTTAGTAAATTTTACTTCCCTTCCAAAATATGAGCCTTGTGCATTTCTACCTTATATGGCCTAAAGCTTTAGATTAATTAAACAATATTGAATTTTATGTAGTCAGGTATTTAGTACATAA